CTCCCTCCCTGCCTGCCTGCCTGCCTACATGCATGCATGCATACATACATACATCCCGGGCAGCTCTTGCAGGACGCGGCATACAACCGGAACGCGTATGTCCGGAATCCCGGTAAATAAATACCGGTAGTGGAAGGCTCAAACTCTGGGTTCACATCAAGAAGCTTGAGTTCTGTTTCCCGAATAGAGATCAACAGCAAATATTTTAGTTTTTCACTATGGCAGAACTGCATTGGTTACCAAATCGATTCCTTCATTAGTGGTGGCCGGCTGTTGGTGCTTCCCCTCATTCCGTTCCTGTTGTGTTGACGATCAACTTGCTTGCTCTTGCAAGCTGCAAACTCGCAGTGCAGATTTACTTAGAACGGCAGGTAGAAGCCAACGGTGCTGCAGAATTCAGTCACCCTAGAAGTTGCTGCGGATGGTGCCGTGTCTTTGCTCGGCTTGCAGCAAGGCAGTAGCATTCCTTACCGAGGATGCCACTATCGCCATGGTAAAGATGATTACCAGTAGCAACATTGCCGGCTACTTTTGGTGTTTGTGCTATCGCAACTAACCAGGGATAATGCTTGATCACCCCTCGAGCCTCAGGCCTTACAAACCCCAAAAACCCTAAGCCCCAAAAGGCTGAGCTCGATTTCTGCCAGTTTTGAGCCCTAAGCCGTAAGTCCTAAAACCTTTCAATCAGCTGACTGAGGTCCTGATGTCGTTGTCCCTGAAGAGACTGGGGGACCTTGGTGGCGCCATCCGCTACCTTAACCGCTGCCTGAGCGAGGGACCTGGGATGCCACCTGCTTTTTACAATTTCACGTATTATCCTCATGTCTGGTGCTTGCTAGGGAATGGGGGAATGGATCCCTGATGATAGGTAGTCCCTCAAGGTCCCTTATAGTAGTCCCTATAACCCATTCCCCCATTCCCTACTAAGCACCAGACAGATATTCGTCCGACGCAAAGTTCAAAGAGCCGGACCCGCTGCAAGCTTCCTCACCGTGATCGGGTGTGGGGTTCATCCAGGGCACGAAGCAAACCCGCAACAGCAAAAGCGCCTAACAGAAGAGAGCTTCTCTCACAGCGAGCATGAAGAGAGGGCTACACAACGGGCACCGTGAGGCGCACAAGTCCATCTAACTTTCTGAACCCTTCTGCACCTGAGCCCACCAAATTACCAAGCCCGAAAATCCCAATCCCACCTGGAGTGCTACCCGAAACCCTAAACCCTTCCACCAAGCTCCCATGCGCCGAAAACTGCCGAACCCTGAGCTGCCCTAAACCTGTCTGGTGCTTAGTAGGGAATGGGGGAATGGATCCCTGATGATAGGTAGTCCCTTAAGGTCCCTTATAGTAGTCCCCATAACCCATTCCCCCATCCCCTACTAAGCACCAGACAGAAACTCGAAGCTCGTAATCTCCAGCCCAAGCTCTGACACCCAACCTTGAGCCCTGAGCATCCGCTACGAAAGAGGCCTGAAGCGTTCTCAAGACCAGTCTGTCGGTTAGGGTTTGGGGTTTAGGGTACTATACTAGAGAATATACCAAGAACCTAAACCCTAAACCCTAAACCGCTAAACACCAAAATCCAGCTCCTTTCTCAAAGCCCTTCCGAGGCATCTTTCCAGGATTCAGGCCAGCTCTTCTGGCCCGCGGGGAGCTGTCCCTGAAGGCACCGGGAAAAACGAAGGGGAAGGGGTGGGGTTTCAGGGGTTTTATATGGGTTTAGGGTTTAGGGTTCAGGGTGGGGGTTTTAGGGCATAGGGTTAAGGGTTTTTATGTGTGGGGGGGGGGGTGCCTCTCGATTTCACAAGCTTGTCGTCAGGGTTTCAGAGGGTTTCAAACACGCGCTTCTTTAGATCTCATAGGGTTTTCGTACCCTAAACCCTAAACCCTAAACCCTAATGGGTTTTGTTGGAGTTGGTCAGATGGGGCTGTACAGAGTTCCGTATCGGCCTGGGGTCCGTGGGTTCTTGGGGTCGGTTAGGGTTTAGGATTTAGGGGTTTAGGATTTAGGGTTTAGGATTTAGGGTTTAGGGTTTAGGATTTAGTGTTTAGGGTCGTCAGCCGTCTGCATATCACAGATGGTTTGAGGGTCCGGGTTCAGAAGGTTGTTGATGTGGCCGGCTTTTTTGGGGGCTGTTAGCAAGGCCTAATACGGCGGCATCAAGGCTCGGCAGTATCATTGTTGGAAAGGCAGAATCCTCGTAAAGGTATCGTCTAAGCACGCAGCCCTAAACCCTAAACCCTAAACCCTAAACCCTAAACCCCAAACCCTAAACCCTAAACCCTAAACCCTAAACCCTAAACCGGTGCAAGTGCTTTGGAAGTTTTGCAGAGGGTCGTGCCTTCCTGGATGTCGTGTTGGGAAGTGGGGGTCTTCCGAAACGAAGGGAGTGCACATTTTTAGGTTTTAGGGGTTCAGGGTTTAGGGTTTAGGGTTTAGGGTATGTTTGGATTTAGGGGTACCTTACTTTCGGGGTCCTTCTATTGAGGACCCTGTGATTTCCGATCTTTGTTAGGGTTCCTCATTTTCTGATACCTTCATGCAGTCACAGTAAAGACGAGGGTAGCAAGATCACTAAAACGGTTCGGACATAGCGATTGTCACAACGCTTGAATCATAACAACTGTTGACTCGATTGACTTGTAAACAGCAGTAACAACCGTGATGCTGCCAACACTACTAGCAGTTACTAAGTACTTACTAGCAACATCACAAATCCACATGCAGAACATGCAGCAGCACCCTAAACCCGAGACCCAAATACACAAAACTGTAGCAGACCGACAAAGGAGTCAACACCATGACGGCCCCAAGCTCCATGCACAACGAAAGGGAAGGATCTAGGATCTAATGAGGGTTTAGGAGTCCGAGTCTGGTATACTCCCGGAGGACAAGCTACGGAAAAGCTCCCGAAGCACCTGGGCGCAGGTACAGGATTTCGAGCGTGCTCGCGCAGACTTCCGGCAGGTGTTGCAGGAAGAGCTGGGGCGCCCAGCTGCTGCTGCGGGTGCTATTCTTATTGCCATCGCTCTGGCTTCTGTTGCAACAGCAACAACAACCACCACGACGACGACGACGACGATTCGGAGAAGATCGTGGATGCTAGATGATTCGCACAATGAGTGTGCGCCGTTTTTGCGAACTGCTCATGGCTACATATGCTTTCGCATAATCATTCCAGGGTGAATGTTGGGGCGCGCCCAGAGGTTTAGGGTTTACCCTACACCCTAAACCGTTTCGCGTACCCAGCCCTGCTTTAGGGTTGAACCTACGAGCCGCCACGGGTACGGATTGGGGGCAGCCAAGTCCCTCTGAGCCTTCAAGAGCTTGAAAACGACGGGGGTTGAAGGGGTTCAGGGTTCAGGGTGTAGGGTTTAGTTTAAGGGTTTGGGACTTCAGGTCTACAGTTGGTTCCTGAGGTTTCAGAAGAAGTTCAAGGGGTTGTCCTCCTGAAGGTCCTCCGCGTGACTTCGCTGCTTTTTGGTCGAAGGGTGTGGAGGGCCTCTCTTTCTCTCTCTCTCTCTCTTTGCTTATTCTGAGTCTTTTCTTATTCTGAGTCTGTCCTTGGTTTGATACTACTGTCAAAGGAAGCAGAGAGCCGGACCATCCATGACGTGTTGCTTTAGGCTTTGCTGGTACGAGCGCTTTTGCCGTGACCATTCCATAGTAGGTATCGAAGATGCCTTACAGGGCTTTTCGAAGCCGCGCAGCTAGAGGGCGTGCCGCAGCCACTTGGGGCGTATGCATCGGGGGTGCGTGGCAGGATGTGTGGAGCTCGTTTCCTTGAAAGCTGTTCTGTAACCCCCAGAACGGATGGACAAGAGAAGCCAAAGCTCTTTGAAGCAATGTAAAGGTCATATTGACGACGGACAATGGCAGTAACACCAACAGCGAAACAAGCAAAGCGAGAAAGGAGTTGCAAAGCAGCTCGGTACAGGCAATGTCTATCACGGTTTTGGTGACTCTGTTGAGTGGTGACCAGACCTGTGTATCGGTGCCCGAGGATGCTTTGGTCGATGTGCTGCGACGAAAATCGCAGAAACAGCTGAATGTGAGCGTTGGACAGCTGATCACTGCTTCAGGCTCTTTGCTTGCAGGGTCTGCCACCTTGAAGCAGGCAGGCGTTACAGATGGTCAGACAGTCACAGCCGTCGTGCGAGATGCTGCTGTAGCAGCGACTGAAAAGGCTTTTGCGTTGATCAGGGCAGACGGCTCCGTCGTAGCGTGGGGGGATTCCAAGCAGGGTGGCGACTGCAGCAGAGTTCAAGAGCAGCTGCAGAATGTGAAATGCATCAAAGCCGCAGCCATGGCGTTCGCCGCGCTTCGCGAAGATGGTTCTGTTGTGACATGGGGTCAATCATTCGGAGGCCAGATCTATCCAGTCCACACCCAGCTACACGATGTCGCAGAGATCCAGGCCACGGACGGAGCTTTTGCTGCCCTCCGCACAGATGGCACTGTTGCAACCTGGGGGGACCCAAATTCAGGTGGCGTGGTGCCCGGCATCGTCCAGTTTCAGCTCCGCGATGTCAAGAAGATACAGGCGAACGAAGACACCTTTGCGGCACACCTCGGTGACGGAACCTAGGATGAATGGGCACAAGTTCTGTCTGTTCAGAGACAGAGGCAGACAGAGACAGAGTCAAAGACAGAGGCAGAGGCAGAGACAGAGACAAAGACACTGACCGGTGACACGACCAGACACGAACACCGGCGTAGCGCAGATGCGCAGGGGGGTGGGGAGCGTGCTTCCCTAAAAAGAGTTTGTTTTTTCACTCCCTTGTATTTTTAGCTCCTGTTTTTCCTTACCCCCTTGGTCCCCTAGTCCCGCGGTCCCCTGGTCCCGTGGTCCTTTGGTCCCCCCTGGTCCCTTGTTGCCTTGGTCTTCTCGGTCCCCTGGCCCTCTGGTCTTCTGGTCTCGCCGTGATCCTCTTGGTTGGTCTTCTGGTCTCCTGGCCCCCGCTGTCTTCCGGTTCCCTGGTCTGCTGGTCTCTTTGGTCCGCTCAGTTCTTCCTGCCGGTTCTTTCCAGCCGTCCAGCCATCCATGTTGCCATCAAGCCGTCCAACCATCCAGCCATCCACCCATCGACACATCCACCCAGCCACGCATCCATCCAGCCTTCGAGCCATCCCGGCTATCAGCCATCCGGCCATCCACCCATCCACATCCCCCATAATCCCCCGTAATCCCCCATCTACCTATTAGGCAGGCAGGCAGCCAGCCAGCAAGCCGGATCTCTGTCTCTCTCTCTCTCTCTCTCTCTGTCTCTTGCTCTCTCTCTGTCTCTCTATTTCTGTCTGTGTCTCTCTCTCTGTCTCTCTGTCTCTCTGTCTCTCTGTCTCTCTCTGTCTCTCTCTGTCTCTCTCTGTTTCTCTCTCTCTCTGTCTCTCTCTCTCTGTCTCGCTCTCTGTCTCTCTCTCTCTCTGTCTGTTTCTGTCTCTGTCTCTGTGTCTGTCTCTGTCTCTCTGTCTCTCTGTCTCTCTGTCTCTCTGTCTCGCTGTCTC